TATTTTTTTTTCCAAAATTTTCACTTTAAAAACTCGGGAAAAGCCGAAAAAAAAAACAATGCCGCATAAAAATCATAAATTTTTGCATTTGAAACCTTAAATTTCCTAGAACCTAGCACGGTTCGCTGAAACAACAAAGTGCTAAGGTCTAATATGTAGCTGCATTTATTAGATTTTCAGACCGGCAAAGATGATTACAACCATTTAAATAAGTTATGTGAAAACAGAGCGCTACCTCTGAAACAAGCATAACAAAAGAAAAGCCCTTTTTTAATTCTTTTAAACAGTAGATTTTCAGTATAAGAGATGATGTGTGACTATGTGATATTAATTTCTTAAGAACTATTAACGGCTGCTCCGAACAGAACGTGTAAGTCGCTTCTGGGGACGCGACTCTACTTATACACGTACTTTTTTTTAGAATTTTTGTGGGGGCGTAAGGAATTACACTTGTAGCATGTGATATCACATGAGTCTGGAAACCAAATTTGGTTTCTCTAGCTCTTATAGTCTCTGAGACGGACAGACGACTCGACTCGGCTATATCGGCTCGGCTATTGATGGTGATCAAGAATATATATACTTTATGTGGTCGGAAACTTTTTCTTCTCTGCGTTGCACACATCCACTTTTACCACAAATACAATATACCCCTTAACTCTTTTTTGAGTACAGGTATGATTAGTTTTCAGTTGTTTCCCCCACCTCCTCCGACGCTGCTGACGCTAATTATTCTCTTTCTCGCTCGCACACACTCTGCCCTATGCTGTGCGCGACCTTTCGCAGAGAAGATGTAGAATCTACATTGTATATGCATAATCTAAATTTCATATGTAGAATAAACATGTTAGATGTAGATAAAAGAGTTTTGAAGTATTGGGAAGAAAAACGATACGAATATCCTCATTAATACCAGCTGGCCAAAGTGGTGCATTCGGTTTCTGCAACACTAGTGAGTGTTGAAAGATCGTTTTGGACTCTCAAAATGATGCATACAGATCAACGAAACAACCTCGCTGACGAGTCATTGTCGAATGACCTACTTCCTTTTTGTAAAATTAAATAATATTACTTAAGTAATTAAACGTAACTCAAATAAACGAGAAGGAACGTGTGAGTCGCTTCTGGGGACGCGACTCCACTTATACCCGTACTCAGTCAGCATATACATTTTTTTAGCATATATGTAATTATTTAGAATTTAAAAAAAAAATTTTACATTTTTTTGCTACATCTACATATACTATGTATATTATACATCTAACATGTATATTCTACATGTACCATTTAGATTCTACATCTCCTCCGCTAGGGGTTGCTCGCGCACTGAACGCGGCAGAGTGTGCGAGCGAGAAGGAAAATGAAGGATGTGTGTAACGCAGAGAAGGAAACGTTTCCGACCCCATAAAGTATATATATTCTTGATCAGCATCAATAGCCGAGTCGATAGAGCCATGTCTGTCTGTCCGTCTGTCTGTCTGTCTGTCTGTCTGTCTGTCTGTCTGTCTGTCTGTCTGTCCGTCTGTCCGTCTGTCCGTCTCGATGAGCGCCTAGATCACAGAGACTATAAGAGCTAGAGAAACCAAATTTGGTTTCCAGACTTATGTGATATCACACTGCTACAAGTGTATTTCAGAATTTCGCCCAGCGCCCTTCCGCCCCCGCAAAGGACGAAAATCTGTGGCAGGCACAATTTTAAAGATACGATAAAACTGAAAACGCAGTATCGTAGAGAATGTCCATATCTACCAGATTGCCGAATCTAAATCAGATCGAATTATAATTGTACCCAGAATGAAGAAATTCATTTTCAGTTGCTTCCCCTGCCCCCTCCTGCTAACGACCATGCAACTGATTCCTTTCTCGCTCGCACACTCTGCCTCGTTCAGTGCACGAGCAACCCCTAGCAGAGGAGATGTAGAATCTAAATGGAACATGTACAATCTACATTTTAGATGTAGAATATACATTGTAGATGTAGATAACAGATGTAGCAAAAAAATGTTAAATGTAAAATTTTTTTTAAAATTCTATAATTCTAAAAAATCATATGCTCAAAAATGTATATGCTGACTGAGTACTGGTATAAGTAGAGTCGCGTCCCCAGAAGCGACTCGCACGTTCCTTCTCGTTTTTTTTTGTTTTTTTTCAGAGGTAGTGCTTCTATTTTTCACATAACTTAAGTATCTTATATCTGGTTGCATAGAACTTTGCAGTTCTGAAAAGCTGCCAAATGCAACTATAAATCATACCCAGACACTTTGTATCTGCAACTTAACGCCTGGAAGATATTAAGCTTTCAAATTTAAATTTCATCATTTTTTTGCGGTATTTTTCCCAAAATTTTGACTTTAAAAACTCGGGAAAAGTCGAAAGAAAAGCATTTCTTGGCATGCATTTTTAGTTTTATATATACGCATTAATTAGGCGTCGTTTAAGGTACTGTTCATTAAAATCTATGGAGAGAGTGGAGCTATAATTTGTTAAGGTACTGTTCATTAAAATCTATGGAGGAGTGGAGCTATAATTTGTTAATCAAATCTAAAAAAAATTAAAAAATAGACAAAAAATACTTTTTGGAAAGTTGCGGGCCCAACTGCTAATTGGAAACAAAGCAAACGAAAAGGGGTTGAATTTTTGGTAATAAGTATTTTTTGTCTATTTTCTCACTTTTGAGGTTTGGTTAACGAATTTTAGCTCCACCGTTTATCCATAGATTTTAATGAACAATGCCTTAAACGACGCCTAATTAATGCGTCTCTCTAAAACTAATAATGTTGGCCAAGAATTATTTTTCTTTCGACTTTTCCCGAGTTTTTAAAATCAAAATTTCGAAAAAAATACCGCAGAAAATAATACATTTTGAATTTGAAAGCTCAATATCTTTCAGGCGTTAAGCTGCAGATATAAAAGGTCTGGTTCGGATTTATAGCTGCAATTGTTAGCTTTTCAGAACTGCAAAGGTCTATGCAACCAGATATAAGATACTTAAGTTATGTGAAAAATAGAAGCACAACCTCTGAAAAAAACCATGAAAAAAATACCAGATTTTAAAAATTCTTAAAAAAAAAATACCATAAAAAAAATAATGCCCCATACAGAAAAAGCATTTTGTTTCACAGCCTAAATAAGAAGTTCAATTTTGTCGAGTAGTGTAATCATTATTTTTAAGTTCAATTTTTTTGATACAAAATAATGATTATGTGTAAAGTTTATAAATTTCTCAAAGATAATCATTTAACTACTCGAAAATATCGAACTTTTTTTTCCTCAAGGATCCAAACCGACTTTTTCTGATAGATATGGGACTCTAAAATTTCTAAAATAATTATGGTTTTTTTTCTATGGCAGAACTTTTTTTTAAAGAAATGTAGTGCTTTTTTCACATAACTCTAGTATTTTACGTCTGATTGTAAAGAACTTTGCTATTTTGATAAGATAATTAAAACAGCTAGAAGTTTAGCCCAAACACTTTGTAATTTTAGCTTACCGTCTGCGAAATAGAAAGCATTGAAATGTAAAAATGCTGAGTTTTGTGCGGTATTTTTTACAACATTTTGACTTTAGGAACTCAGGAAAAGTCCTTTGTCCTCTATTTTCTTTTAAATCTATGGAGAAACTCCATAGATTAAAAAAAAAGGACAATCAAAATTTTTGCATTTCAAGGCTTTTTTTTTCCCAGACGGTAAGCTGAAATCACAAAGTGTTTGGTTTTAATTATCTTTTCAAAATAGCAAAGTTCTTTACAACCAGACGTAAGATACCAGAGTTATGTGAAAAACAGAAGCGCTACCTCTGAATAAAGCTTACAAAAAAATACCAGTTTTGAAAAATTCTTAAAAAAGATCTGCCATAGAAAAAACAAAAATATCATCAAACCATTTCTAAGCCCCAAATTTTTAAGAAAAAGTTGGTTTTGTTCCTTAAGCCTAGTACTCAGATCCAAAAATTGTTTGCCAGCAAACAAATGTCATATATTCTTCGAGCGGCCAGTGTGTGACGAGAGGTGTGCACTGCATTCCGAACGGTTACACTGCTCAGACCGCTGCTTGGTTTTGTTTAAAGTTAATAAAATGCACTTCTTCGGCTGGGGCTGCTCTTCCCCAGGCATGTCCTGGGCTTCCCAACATTTTATTGGCAAGGTAATGTGTCTGACTATCAGCAGCAGCAGATGGCGACGCCTCCCGTGCCGGACACCGTGAAGACAAACTGTTTTGAAAACAATATTTGTTTTATATTTATGAAAATTAATAAAAATATTAAATTATAATATCCATATAATTGTCATTCATATAACACTGCATTAATTAGATTCTATTTTTCTTCATTATTAAAATATTTCATTTGGTTCTGTATACGCTTATTGCAATGTTTGCTTCGTGTTTGCTGGCAAAATATATCAAATTGATATATTTTTCGAGGTGGGTCGAAACATACCAAAAAAACAAGCAAATAATTCGGATTCTTTTCCAGTACATACCGACCATTTTTTTTTTTTTTTGATCTGAGTACTGCCTTCCCTACAGAGCCTAGAAAACAGTTTTGCCGAAAAAAAATTTCTTATCGGTTTCATACGAATATCAACCCTGATTCTGTTCGCGAGGTGTTTTTTTCGATCTGAGTACTAGGCTTTAAGGAAAAATCGTGTCGAGTAGTGTTATCATTGAAAAAAACGTAACGTCAAATATAATCAATACCATGTAATTTTTTAAATATAACTTATAATGAGTACGGTCCCTGTTAGAATCTACATTTCAGATGTAGAATAAACATATTAGATGTAGATGACAGATGTAGCAAAATATGTAAAAAAATTTTAAATTCTACATTAAACATAATGCTCACAAATTTATATACTGACTGAGTACGGGTAGAAAAGTAGAGTTGCGTCCAAAGAAGCGACTCACACGTTCCTTCTCGTTTTTAATTTATACCAAATTCTCAAATAGCAAAACAGAGCTATTTATATGAATTTATTTAATGGATCCCTTGTTTTTTAGGTCGTTGAGATAAACTCTGAATTGCTTCAGAGTATGATGTCTTCCTTATTAAACAATGTTTTGGCCGAGGATTGTCGAAATCAGTGGTCCATGTCACGCCCATTGCTGGTACTAATATTACTTTACGAGGATTTTTATAGGTAAGAATATTCTCATATTTTTGTGGAGTTATTTACAATGCTTACGAATTTGTCTATATTTAATACCTCTTCCAAAAAAATTTTTTGTCACACAAAACTTCGGGCTTAAAATGGCTAGATTTAAGATTAACGTTCTGTTAGGTAGAGGAGGCTGACACACTTAGGCCAGCTTCGTCCCGATGTGGTACCGCTTGGGATTTTCTCTTCTTCTCCCTAGTGACACACTATTTAAACAGTTATCATATCCGGATGCAATAAATAAATTACCGTCAACGACATCAGAGTTATTTTTATATAACTCTGCCATTTGATGAAAAATATAGTAATATAGAAAATATACTAACCCCAAATTTATTCGCGAAAAAGAGCTTAGAGTAGGCATGGGTATTTGCGCTCATTTTGCATTTTATTTAATTTATTTTTTTTATATTAAGTTACTTTCAGCCGTGTTGATTAGTTGAAATATTTAATTGGCCTCCACGTCTGACACGGGTGGGTTAGCGCCACCTCCTGATTGTGTTCTTGAAAGACTTGATTAATTGCTTTAACTTTTAAATATTATGACTGGAAGTGTATTTATGATGCTCATGCAATAACGTTTTTGTTAGTAAATGGTTAGCGTGCTTGATTTACATTTTTGATATTTTCGATGCGTGTGAATTCAACAATGTATTTATAAGATGCGATAGGTTCTTTTTCAAAGAATCTATATCTATTAGTATAGGATTTGAGTACTGAAAAACTATTTCGTTCTTGAGAGTAAGCGGGACATTCGAAAATTATATGTCTTCTGTTAGGTTGCAGGTATCACATAAATTGTTATTTATTACTTTCATTCTAGCAATCGAAACTTTGTCTATTCCGTGACCACTTAGTAGTCTCTTGATTTGTTTTGATTTCCAAACGGCTTAGATTGCAGTTTTTGTCTTTAAACCATGGTTTGTCCCGTATATAAGGAAATAAATTCATGTAACCTTTATTTCTTTCCGTGGCGCGTATATATAATATATTAATATATAAATAAGTGTGAAAGCGTCTTTAAGAGGCCAGCGAGAAACAAAGAATGTGCCATAATTTTTAGAATTCTTTGCAGCAATATCAGCTAATTCGTTTTCTTTTATGTGTACATGGCTTGGAATGTTATGAAATTCCACTACGAGCAAACAGAGAGCGTTTTCAATTTTGTTTATTATTTCTTTGGCAATGCAATCATCTGGATTGATCTTTCTATACCCGTACTCAAAAAAGAATGAAGGGGTATATTAGATTTTTGGTAAAAGTGGAGGTGTGTAACGCAGAGAAGGAAACGTTTCCGACCCCATAAAGTATATATATTCATGATCAGCATCAATAGCCGAGTCGATAAAGCCATATATGTCTGTCCGTCTGTCTGTCCGTCTGTCTCGATGAGCGCCTAGATCTCAGAGACTATAAGAGCTAGGGCAACTAAATTTGGTTTCCAGACTCATGTGATATCCCACTGCTACAAGTGTATTTCAAAATTTCGTCCCGCCCCCTTCCGCCTCCATAAAAGACGAAAATCTGTGGCAGCCACAATTTTAATGATACGATAAAACTAAAAACTAAAATCTGAATCAGATCGGATCACAATTATAGCCAGAATGAAGAAATTCATCTTCAGTTGCTTCCACCGTCTCCCCCTGCATGAAACACGCTACTGATTCTCTTTCTCGCTCGCACACTTTGCCGCGTTCAGTGCGCGAGCAACCCCTAGCGGAGGAGATATAGAATATGAATGGTACATCTATAATCTACATGATAGATGTAAAATTTACATTTTAGAAGTAGATGTAGATAACAGATGTAGCAAAAAAATGTAAAATGTGAAATTTTTTTTTTTAATTCTAAAATTCTAAAAAATCATGCTCAAAAATGTATATGCTGACTGAGTACGGGTATAAGTAGGGTCGCGTCCCCAGAAGCGACTCACACGTTTAAATTTAAAACCCCATTGAGACTATCAGTGAGGATTGCAGTTTTAAGAAAGTTTTCGGAAATGGCAAAGTCAATGGCCCTATTAATGGCTATAAGCTCAGCTGTGAGTGACGATAACTTTTTTTAGGTAAAGAAACTTATAAAGAATCCTGATTCTTTATAGATAAAAGCACAACCCACGTAATTGTCTGTGACTGAACCATCCGTGAAAATTAAATTGAAGTGTTTAGATTTCAAATGAGTTAATTTTTCTTGAGGTAACGAATTTATAAGAGCATTACTTGCAGAACTTTTCTTTGGACATGAGCCCTTAAAAAAATCGGTGTCGGTTAAAATTTTGCTGTTAAAGCATAGTATCCAGCACCGCGGAATCTAAAAATTTCTGTCAAACTTCATATAAAAAAAACTGTGCCAGGAATTTTTCTTTTACGTTTTCCTGGAGTGTGTATCCAGCAACACGAGCGGAATCCACAGATTTATATCGATAGTTGCCTATCGGGACCGTATGTGGACTGAGAGAACAGCTGACACCCAGCTCAGGAATATATGTTCAACAATTATTCCTGAAGTGAATGGTGCAAGATGTAGGCAAAAACTGGCCGCAAAACCAAAAAGGGAGATGAAAATTATTCCTTTTTGTTTTGCAACAATATATGCCGCCACCAACACAATCACTTCATCATCAGAGTGCATTTCATTCCTTTTTTAATTTTAGCAGAATTTTACAGTTGGCACTGTTTAAAAAAACACAGCTGATTCATTAACCCGGTTTTAGCTATGTTCCACGCCCTCACGGCATAACTAGCAAATTCATGGCAGGAATTTTCCGTGATGCTGGAGACACTCCTTAAAACTACATACATCTGTGATCGGTACAATTGCATTCAAAATGTCTTCACTCCCTTATTGCAGCAGTTGATTACGTTTGCTACTCCAAGGGCAACGATCGCTGCTGGTGATGCTGGTGATTCGGGAGCCGAATGCGTCACTTCGGAGAGTATGCAGGTTAACATGTCTGTAGCGTCCGTGTCCGTCGAGTCCGCGCCCATCTCCTTAACTATCCCATCAGTTTCGCTCCCACCAGCTAATAGATGTCCAGGACCACCGGATACTGGCATCACAGGTACTAGGACTGTGGTGCCAAAACCACTGGTGGGAGTCCCACCAAAGCGAAGTTTTTGTCTCGCGGCTAGCCCCTGACCTCACATCCAATGATCTAACCGCTTTTATACAGAGCAAAATAAACGCCGTTGGCTTAAAGGTGGAAAAATTAAATTTTCTTACGCCAGGGAGATATCTTCCTTTAAGATAAGCGTCTCCCGGACTCAATTTGAAACCATTTGTTCCGCCAAGTTTTGGCCGGAGAATTTGGTGGTTAAAGAGTTTAAGGCTAAGAAGAAGAATAGGCCCCCCATTAATGTTCCTAGTAGCCAGACCAGTGCTCCATCTCCATCCTCATCTTCCACCTCTACTTCTACCCGTCCAAAAAACTAACTTCCTCTCTTTTAGTTACCTACCAGAATGCTAGAGGCTTGCGTAGTAAGCTCAGCACTCTTTTTCTTGAGAGTCTCGCATTCTCGTCCCATGTTATTGTGTTTACCGAGACCTGGTTAAAGCCGGACATCCTTAGTTCCGAGGTTTTGGCAGGTCGGTACACAATTTTTATAAATGACCGTTCGTCTCGACGTGGAGTTGGGGTCCTCATTGCAGTGAACTCGAACTTCACGTCGGAACAACATTTCATGGTCTAGGTTCAACAAGACCTCGAATTCCTGTGCGTAAAACTGATTCTCCCAGGCTTTTCCATTTTCATTACTTGCTCGTATATTCCACCATCCTCGGATATCTTAATATACGAGCATCACCTGTCCGCTTTAAGATCTGTTTCTTCCTCGCTTTCAGATAAAGACCATATGTCGCATGTGCCACTTGATGGTGCAGTCATTGCATATTAACGACCAGACAAAAAACTAACTATAAACCTTGTTTAGAGGAGGATATCGAAGTATATCACCTTGACGCAAATATATATAAAAACGAGAAATTGGCTTTCTATACGTACAACATAACATTTTAATTCTGTTTGTGGTCGGAGCTGCACTACTTCCATCTGCGCTCAGAAACTGCAGCAGCAGCCAAAAGCTCAGCGAGAGCGCGATCTTTAGCGCGAGAGAGCTAACAGAACGATAGACAATAACAAAACATGCTCGGTGACATTTACTTAATGCTACGTATTATAACACTACTCGACAAAATTGAACTTTAGATTTAGGCTGTGAACCAAAATTACTTTTTCTGATAGATTTCGGGATTTTAAAATTTTTGTAGTACTTTATTATTTTTTTTATGGTGTCATTTTTTTTAAAGAATTTTTTTGTTTTTTTCAGAGGTAGTGCTTCTATTTTTCACATAACTTTAGTATCTTATATCTTGTTGCATAGAACTGAAAAGCAGTTCTGAAAAGCTGCCAAATGCAACTATAAATCATACCCAGACACTTTGTATTTGCAACTTAACGCCTGGAAGATATTAAGCTTTCAAATTTAAATTTCATCATTTTTTTGCGGTATTTTTCCCAAAATTTTGACTTTAAAAACTCGGGAAAAGTCGAAAGAAAAACATTTCGTGGCATGCATTTTTAGTTTTAGATAGACGCATTAATTAGGCGTTAATTAAAATCTATGGATAAACGGTGGAGCTAAAATTCGCTAACCAAACCTAAAAAGTGAAAAAATAGACCCTGCATGAAACACGCTACTGATTCTCTTTCTCGCTCGCACACTCTGCCGCGTTCAGTGCGCGAGCAACCCCTAGCGGAGGATATATATGATATGAATGGTGCATCTATAATCTGCATGTTAGATGTAAAATATACATCGTAGATGTAGATGTAGATAACAGATGTAGCAAAAAAATGTAAAATGTGAAATTTTTTTTTTAATTTGAAAAATCATTCTCAAAAATGTATATGCTGACTGAGTACGGGTATAAGTAGGGTCGCGTCCCCAGAAGCGACTCACACGTTTAAATTTAAAACCCCATTG